AAGCCCCCAGAGCACCAGGGACCACAAGAGCCCTAGCTTCTTTTAATCTGAACGTTCTGCTGAACCTTTCTGCCCTGGTGACCCTGCTGGCTCTTGAAATACTGCTCGTATCACAGCAACACCTTAGCCACCATCATCCTAAAAATGGACAGACAAGTGGTAGAGTCCAACAATGTCTGGTCGTTTTCATGGATAATAAACCTTATAGATGTTGGTTGTCTTTCAACATGTCATCAGGAGGGATTGATCGCTGGGAGGAGGACATAATATTTAATGAAGTACAGGGCCCATGAAGACAAGGGAGACCGGTGAGATGAATTGGCTCCGTAACCTCAGTGATGGGGATCTTGATGAAGCAAAACTGGGCAACGCTTTGTTCTGCTGCACATAACTCACCGTGTGTAAGAATGAATTGGACACCAGCTAGCTAGTTCTCTAATGTTGCAACGTGTGTCTGTGGCTTTAATCATGTTCTAACTCCAGTTTAATATACTTAGTACAAGCCAAACGCTGTAGTGCATGCTAAAGATCCAAGAAAAATAAGACCATTTCAGCCTTGAATCTGGTAAACTTTTCAACAACACATTGCCCTTTTTATTTTTTAGTGAGTATACTAGACACTAAGACTATATAGTACTGAGGGAAATCAACACAATTATAATCCTCAAGTTCAGATGAGACTGTCTGATTAACTTCTCTGCCACAGTCAGATTGCTCTTTTAAATGACAAAGTTTATGGATCCTGAATGTATAGTTTCCAGATCTCTCTGGAAGGCAACATTATTACGCCAGTTTTACCTTCTTATAAACTGTACGTACCAAAGCAGTAGACTCTGCTAAATTTATAGCCTCTTCCTACAGAATTCCATAATGACCTGGGGAATGTATAAAAAAAAGGATTTATGCAGTTGAGTCTCTATGGAAACATGTCACATCTCATAAGATATTTTAAAAACTTTTAAGGAAGAGGCATATGTTGTGAATTCCCAAGTAGCCACGTAGAGTGATTGGAAGGCACTGCCTTGGGTTTGCAGCAACTGTAAATTGTGTTTTAGGGATTCATTCCGGTGGAGTCAAGTAGGAAACGTGGATAAAAGTAAGTGTTAAAAATAAGGGGAAATAAAATAAAAAGGCGGGGGTGATGTGCCCACTTTCAGATTTGACAAACTGAAAAAGGACAAACATTTCTGTGGATATAAAGGAAGTAAAAAATAAGTCAGCAAATGCCACTGTAAATTTGAAATAAATTCAGAAGTAGAGATTTGAAATAAGACTTTGAAAGGAATATCTATTACTCCTGTGGGTGACCTTCCTCATGGTAAAAAAAAAATAATTGGCCATAGTAGGAGATCAAAAGTGATTCCTAATAGATAATTATTTCACAAAGATAAAAGTCTTCAGAGATTATAGTGTAAGTTAAGTAAGGGAAATTCATGATGATGTAACAGACTGGACTATTGAAAAACCCACTTCTGTCAAGTGGATTTTGACTCATAGTAATGCGATAGGGCAGAGGAGAACTGCCCCCGGGGTTTTAGTCTTACTAAAGGCTGTCAGTCTTTACTGAAGCAGACAGTTTCATCTCTCTCCCATGGAGTGGCAGGCCGGTTCAAACTCCTTTGGTATATTGTTAAACTGTTTTTGTCTGTTTGCTTGTTTGTTTTAACTTTATTGTGAATTGAGTGAAGGTTTGCAGACAAGAGTATCAGTTTTACATTCGACAAATCACATACTTTGTTTCATCTCAATGATTGCAATTCCTCTCCCTGCAGCAAAGGTTACCCCTACCTTGCTGTGCTTCCTATTTTTGTACCACTGTCCTTCCTGTCCCTTATTTTGATTTGGACTGATTGACCATTCCATGGTGAGCATACCTTACCAGTGCTGTCCCCACTATCTACTGTTGTGTATGAAATTGGACTCCCAGGGTGAGTTCCTTTCCAGACCTGAAGGGTGGTCAAGCGTCAGTCTCAGGTTCCCTCAGTCACTTTCTGACCAGTAAGACCGGGCTTTTTTTTTTTTTAAGTTTTAATTGTGAATTGAGTGATAGTTTACATGGGAGAATACCAGCTTTACACTCATCCTATCATATTTCATTGCAATAATTATAATGCCCTCCATGCATCATCATTCAACAGTAGATAACATTGTACTTTAAGGTAGATCTTATAAAAACAAAAGCATGTCAAGAAAAATACAGTGGCAAAGAAAAAAAAATTGCTTTCATTCTTCCTAATAAGAAAATTCGTGTTTATGAGATATTCTAAATTTACCATTTAAAATATGCGGCAGGATGAATTCTGACTCCTAATTCTGCTCTGGTGTCCTGATATGGCACTGTAGGCTGAGCACTGGACTGCTACCCCCAAAGGCGGCAGTTCAAACCTACCAGCTGCAACTCGGATGTCCGATACACAGGTGCTGTGAGTCAGAAATGACTTGATGACATTTAACAACTGAGCCAACAGCACTTAACAACCACAACAACAACTCTCCTCTAACCCACCGTCTCCAGCACCCTGCCTTTTCTGTGCTGATTTTCTTAGTTTTTCTCTCATTTTAGTGATTGCTACCAGAGAAACCATCTGGTAGTCTCATGAAAGTTTTCTCTCCACCCTGTTCGTTTACAACAGGGGTGGGGAAAGTTTTTTCTGCCAAGGGCCATTTGACTATTTATAACATCATTCTTGGACCATACAAAATTCTAAACTTAAAAATTAGCCTGTTTCATTGGGTCAAACATTTAACTCATCCCTATGAGGTGGTACTGACTCGCACCTAACAACAATAATATGATGGCTGGAACTGCTGGTGCCATGGCAGAGCCAAACCAAATAATGTCAAGAGCCTTGTATGGCCTGCCGACACTGAACATTCCCCACCCCTGGTTTACAGGAAGACGTTGATTGTAATTATTGTTAGCATCCTTAAAAAAATAATAATAAAAAAAGTAAATATGGGGGAAATGTAAGAGAATTATGAAAAGAAAAGGTAAAAGCATAGGACCCCATCCAAAATACTATAAATGACTATAGGCCAGCACAGTGTGGTGTTTGATATAGTATGTGTGTGTGTGTGTGTGTCTGTGTAGTAGTTGTTCTTATTCCTCTTTATTTGCTCCCAATCTTACCACAAACATAATTCTGGTTTGCCAACCAGCTGGTCTTTATTCTTAGCCCACTAAGAGCTCTCTTGGTGTGGCACTGTAGGTTAAGCACTGGATCACAAGGTTGGTTTGAACTTCAAAGTTGGCGGTTCAAACCCACCAGCTGCGCCTCAGAACCCTATACAGGTTGCTATGAGTCCGAATCGACTTGATGGCACTTAATAACTACTACTACTACCTATTTGTTGTTGTTGTTAAGTGCCGTCGAGTCGGTTCCGACCCACAGCGACCCTGTACAGGGTTTCCGAGGGTGTAAATCCTTACGGGAGTAGAAAGCCTCGTCTTTCTCCCGCGGAGCGGCTGGTAGTTTCGAACCGCTGACCTTAAGGTTCGCTCTGGTAGCGTAGTGGTTACGAATCGGGCTGCGAACATTAAGGTCAGCGGTTCGAAACTACCAGCCGCTCCGCGGGAGAAAGATGAGGCTTTCTACTCCCGTAAGGATTTACACCCTCGGAAACCCTGTACAGGGTCGCTGTGGGTCGGAACCGACTCGACGGCACTTAACAACAACAACAACAACTACCTATAGCTAGGCTCACCATCCTCAGTGGTCGCTTTTGTGGGAAGTTGGCTGCTGTTTGAAGCTTCCTTTCCCTCCATTAAGTAGACCTGGTGCTACTGTGGGCTCAGTGTCACGCTGCTAACAGAAAGCCCAGTAGTTCGGACCCACCAGCTGATGGGGAGAGAAAGACATGGCAGTCTGGGAAACCTGGGGCGGGGGCAGTTCCCTTCTGTCCTCCAGGATCACTATGAGTCAGAATGAACAGAAAGGCAGTGAGCTTCCCTCCACTGGTCCCAAAGTTTCCTTTCCTTAAAATATGCACAGGCTTAGCTACATTTGCATTTGAAAAGCTTTTCTTAAAGAGAAATTTTTGTTTAGCTCCCATATTGAAGCCACCATACTACCTACTCGTTTTATCAGGGGTGGTGAGAGAGGACTTCCTCCCAAACTCAATAAAAGGTGGAAAGGAGAAGGATTACATCATCATTTCCATGTGTTTTGGGAAGTACAGGAACGTTTATTGTACTCTCGTGAATTTAGTGAGACTGTTTCCTTTGGTTTTGTACGTAACTTGTTTGATAGAGATTGCTTCCTTTAAAATTTTTTTAAAATTTATTTTTTATTGTGAACTAAGTGATATAGTTTACATGGGAGAACATTGGCTTTAATACCATCGTTTCATTGCAATGATTACAATCTCGGTGCATCATCATTCAACATTATTTGCTTCCATTCCCTGTTTTTCTTACTTTTGGGTCAGGGGGATATACACAAAAATACTCAGGCATATTTAATAATTTACACCACCAAAGGGCAAATTCTTCAAGCCTGCCTCCTGGCTGTCAGCACTCAGTCCCTCTCTTTCCATGAGTCCAGAGTCCTCAGCTGCTCCCTCTCTCCATGGTCTCATCTCTGCCACTATCTCTGGTGGTGTTGCTGCTTCTCTGAATAAGGTCTCGCATTCCACTTATTCTCTTCTCCCTTGATGGTCCTAGGGTCCTTTGTTTCTGGACTGTAAGATTAACTACTTCCCTGTTTTTGTTACAAAACTTCTACCTTTACAGTTGTGACAGTCGCAGTTAGTCATGATATAAAAATTTCTTAACAGTCACTTTCTTTTACAAAGAATCCCCATGCAAGTAGTCAATTGGTTAGTAACTTTGAGCAGAAAATCAGTAGTACTGAAATCATTTTGTGGTAAATGACTATGGCTAACCAAGTTTCTAGCAATATCGCAATCTAATTTTCTGTTAAAGGTGATTTAAGATTCTGGTTTTATTCTGAATAAATTTTACTTGTCTTAGTAAATTTTATGTGTCTCTGTCATGGCAGGTTCATGACTTGCAGAATGAACTTGATAAAGAAAAAGAAGATGCTCAAAAGAAAATTCATAAATTTGAGGAGGCTTTGAAGTGAGTAAAATTATGATGGATTCAAAACATTTTTTGAGATACTCTTACACTAAGCTGGGAGCCCAATTAAGTAACTATAACATAAAGATCATATTTTTATTAGAGCAATGCTATGGTTTAGTTTGAGTTAATTTCTCACCACAAATCTTTATTTTCAGAATTTAATTACTTGCCAGAAAAAGAAATTTTTTAAGGGGAAAATCAGTTCAGCTGTTTTTAAGTGATAGGAATGTAAGAAAATAGAACTTAGTGGTTTCAGATGCTTTCTTACTCTTAAATGAAAACAGATTTAAAAAGAGAGAGAAAGAGATTTGCCCTCTTAAAAGACTGTCTGTAGAGTCTGTTGAGAAATTTGTGTAATGTTTATGTGTAATGAATGTTTAAGTTGTCATCTTTGACATGGATTGCTATAAAAGTGTTGTCTAGGAAAGTAATATTTGAACATACATAAAAGTTTTAGATTTTGTCTTCTCCATCTATATTCTAAATGATTAAGTCCTGCTTAATCTGGTATGATATACCATGCTTTAAACTTTAGTAAAGTTTTACTAAAGGTAATACAGAAACAGCTGCAAGCATACATTGACAGAGAACTTCTAGAGGTTCAAGCCGATTCAGAAGAGGCCATGGAACAAGGGCTCATTGCTGATGTCCGATGGATCTTGGCTGAAAGCAGAGAATATCATAAAGATGTTTACCTGTGCTTTATTGACTATGCAAAGGCTTTTGATTGTGTGGATCATGACAAGCTACGGACAACATTGCGAAGTTTGAGTATTTCAGAACACTTAATTGTGCTCGTGAGGAATCTGTACCTGGACCAAGAGGCAATTGTTCAAACAGAACATGGGAACACAGAATGGTTTAAAATTAAGAAAGATGTGTGACAAGATTGTATTCTTTCAGCATACTTATTCAACCTGTATGCTGATTAAATAATCCAAGAAGCTGGGTAATATGAAGAAAAACATGGCATCAGGATTGGAGGAAGACTCATTAACAATCTGTGATGTGCAGGTGATACAAGCTTGCTTACTGAGAGTGAAGAGGACTTAAAACATTTACTGATGAAGATCAAAGAGCACAGCCTTAGGTATGGATCACATCTCAATGTCAAGAAAACAAAAATCTTCACTACTGGACCAATAAACAACATTTTTATCAATGAAGAAAAGATTGAAGTAGTCAAGGACTTCATTCTTCTTGGATCAACTATCAACACTCACAGAAGCAGCAATCAAGAAATCGAACGATGTATTACATTAGGCAACTCTGCTGCACAAGACCGTTTTAAAGTGTTGAAGAGCAAAGATGTCTGCTTGAGGACTAAGGTGCGCCTGACCCAATCCATGGTATTTTCAATAACCTCATATGCATGTGAAAGCTGGACAGTGAATAAGGAAGATCGTGGAAGAATTGATGCTTTTGAGTTATGGTGTTGGAGGAGAATATTGAAAGTGCCATGGGCTGCCAAAAGAACCAAAGATCCATTTTGGAAGAAGTACAGTCAGAGTGCTCCTTGGAGGTCAGGATGGCCAAACTTCGACTCTCATATTTTGGACATATTTTGGTCAGGAGGGACCAGTTGCTGAAGAAGGATATCATGTTTGGTAAGGTGGAGGGTCAGAGAAAAAGAGGAAGACCCCCAACGAGATGGCTTGGCCAAGTGTTACCATCGATGGACTCAAGTGTGGCAACAGTAGTGAGGTTGGCCCAGGGTCGGGCAATGTTTCGTTCTGCTGTGCATAAGGTCACTATTGAGTCGATACCAACTTGCTGGCATCTAACAACAACAACAACAATCTGGTGTGGTGCTATAGGATCAGCACTGGACTGCAAACCACAAGGTCAGCAGTTCAAACCCACCAGCTGCTCCTCGGAGACCCTATGTAGGGTTGCTGTCAGTTGGAACCTACTCAATGGCACTTTACAACAACAACATAATTAGACTTTAAGGAGCTAGACTGGAGCTGTGGGGTAGGCATTGGGATGCTCTCATAAAGTCTTGAAAACCCTACCTAGCATCTTTGTGAGTCAGAACAAACTCAGTGATAGTGCTTATGACTAGCTTTTTTACCCTTCAGCGTTTAGCTGAAATATGTTGATTCATTCAACAAGTATTGCTCGAGTTCCATTAAGTTCCAGGCAGTGTGCAGTCCTTGCCAGAGGAATTTATAATCTGGTTGGAGCTATATTGAAGAAATTTGGGGATTCCAATACCATATAGGCTGATGAGAGCCTTGTTGTTGTTGTTATGTGTTGTGGAGTCAGTTCTGACTCAGAACGACCCTGTGCAGGGTTTCCGAGGCTGTAAATCTTTATGGGAGCAGAAAGCCTCATCTTTCTCCCATGGAACAGCTGGTAGTTTCAAACTGCTGACTGTGAGATTAACAGCCCGATTCGTAACCACTACGCTACCAGAGCTTATTGTTAAGAGCCTAAGTAGGGGGAAAATGAACAGGAAATCTTGCCTGAGAAAGTGATTCAGAAAGAGAAAGTTCTTTGAGTTGAGTATACATAGCTAACTGCCAGAGAATCCGCTGATGAAGCCCAAGGAGGGACAGGAAATGGTTATGCAATCTTCCCGGGCAGAATTTGATACTACATTTCTTTGATCCAGGGTGTTCTTTTTGGACTTATGTAAGTTGTTCCTGTTTGGAGGTTTGGGGAAGTAAGAAAAATAGTATCAAATTAAACATGGTGGTGGTGGTGGTTGTTCAGTGCCATCTAGTTAGTTCCAACCCATAGAGCCATAGAGACCCTATATTGGGTTTCTGAGAAGCAGCTGGTTAGTAAAATGTATTGGCTCAGTTGCTGACTAGAACATCTTAAAATAATGTATGCCCTATGACATCACAAGAGATCACTTTTTTCCTCTCCTTTAGAATTTATTGCTGCCTTATTCAAATCACCAAGTATGAATTAGATGAAAACTTAAGAGAACTACAATGTTCAGTAATTTAAAAGCACATTACTATCTTATACTCCAACTTGAGAAATGATACAACTAGGGCATTATTGCTTTCTTTAGAGAAGACACGTACTCCTTTTATTCCTCATAAATGATTTTTTCTTCTTTAAAATGTTAATAGCTTCCTTTATTTATGAAAGATACAATGCATTTCTCTCTCTCTTTCTCTTTTATAACTTAGTTATATTCTCTTCATTGGGTTGTTGATTTGTATTTTATGTTCCTAAAGTAACAGACTTTGTTGTTGTTGTTAAGTGTCATCAAGTTGATTGTGACCCACAGTGACCTTGTATAGGGTTTCCGAGGAGTGGCTGGTGAACTTGAACAGCTGACCTTGGGTTCAAACTGTCTTTGCAGTCTAGTGCATTAACCTTCAGCACCACACCAGGACTCCAAAGAAACAACCTTTAAATAACAATAAATCAGCTAATACTGGTTTAATACCTATAGTGTATAGGCACTTTGTACTCTACTGAAAGAAGAAGGATGAAAGAGATAGTTCAAGACATAATGCTGCCTTTGACAATCTTGTGGCCCAGGGTAGGTACCTAGAAGACCCAGACATTAAGTTGATAAGGAGTTCTGGGTGACACAGCTAGTTAAGTGCTAGACTGATCAAAGGGTGGCTGCTCAAACCCATCCACAGGCACCTTGTTTTTCAAAGGCACAGCCTTGAAAACCCTATGGAGTACTGTTTTCTTTAATAGCAATACTAACAAGTTGTTGATGGTAAATGCAGTCAGAGAGAGAAGGGGACCGGCACTTCCTGGAACAGGCAGCTCAGGTAGGGCTCCGGGGGAAAACGGG